CCCTAAGGACGCGGTGCTGCCGCCGCCCCGGGTGCCCCCGGCGCCCTGGCTGACCTGCCCTCCTCGCGGCAGGCTGGGTTTGCCGCCCGCACCGCGGCCCTTGGGACAGGAGGGGCTGGGACATCTCATGGCTTTGCTGGGCACCAGGGCCCTGTGCAACGCGGGCACTCGCCCCTCGCAGCGCTGGTGCGGAGCTGCCCTGTCGCTAACAGGCGCCTCCGTCTCTCTCCCTTGCAGACGGAAAAGGCGCAACTTCAGTAAACAAGCCACAGAAATCCTGAACGAGTATTTTTACTCCCACCTCAGTAACCCCTACCCCAGTGAAGAAGCCAAAGAAGAGCTGGCAAAGAAGTGCAGCATCACGGTATCGCAGGTAGGAGCTGGCAGGGTCGGACGGGACGGGCTGGCGCCGCGGCGCCCGCGCGCAGGGTGCCCTGCGCCTCTGCAGAGCCTCCGGGTTCGCCCCGTTGCCAGTGAAGGGAAGCAGAGCTGGCCAGGGAGGCAACCCGGGGCTGAGCGCTGCCGGGGGGACGTCGTGTCCGTGGGCTGGGGGCGTCCTGGAAAAGAAGGAACCCGTGACAACAACCGCGATGGAGGTAGCGCGGGTACAATGTCAGCATCCTGCCTTGGAGGAGGCCTCTCTCAGCGTGGTCACCAGGGGCTCCGATAGTTCCATTGTAAATTTGTTATAACTTACCATTCTTTTAGGGAAAGGCCTGACAAATATGTGATTTATTTTTATGAATCAGAATTTCTTTGATTAGTTGAAAGCTTTTTTCTCATCTGGCTTCTCAATATTGGTGCAGTGACGGGAGTGGTTTCATTGAGGCAGGAACATGCAGAGCAGATTGACTCCTCTTATCAGAAGTAACAAACTTATGTTATGTATCTATCTCCACCAGCAGAAAAGCCCAGCTTTGTGGGCCCAGGCTCCCTTTCCCATACAGACCCCAATGTATCTTATAGCTCTGGGCTGTTTTCTTGCTGTGACATTTTGGTCTATGGCACTGCTACATCAAGCTTTCCTTTCCTTCATTCTTTAGTTCACCAGATAGCTCACAAACCAAAATAACACTTTTTTAAAAGATTATTTCTTGTGTCTTGTACATCTGATAGAAAACCAAAATACTCCCACAGCAAATCTGGCTCTTGGGAAAGATTGTCACTCAGTTGCAGAAAAGAAAGTTCAGTAACGGTTTCCAAGTTTGCCAGCCACCCTGGTGCCCACTTGTGAGTGCAGGTTTGCCACCTCCTTCCTCATTAGTGTTTCAGGTCCTTCAGAGGAGCAATACCTGCGGTGAGCGTGTTAACTATTAACGATCGCAGGCTGCAGTACTGGCATTATTAGCAACACAACCTTTAGCTTTATAATTAACACCTGAGTTGTGATTTACTTTATAGGTTTCCACTGAAACCAGGACAAAATGAGGTGCTTTACTGCAGACTTCCAAGTGAAGCGTTCTGCGAACAGGGCCACCTAGCACCCCCAAATCTGCGATGTAGCTGGCTTTGGTGTGGGGCAGCTCTCTAGGGAGCCCCTGACGTTGCTGTGTGCTGCCTTGGGAGCTGGCACCAGCCGAAAGCTTCAGCCTAAGTGCCTGGCCAGCCCAGTCCAGAGCCCTGCATCTTGCTGGGGGTTTGGGGCCTCAGTGCAGTGCAAGAGCTCCCCAGAGAGGTGCTCGGGAGCCTGTCTGCAAAGGCAGGAGAGCAAAGCCCCTCAGCACCGAGCGGGAGGAATTGCTTCCCCCTGGCAGCGGAGGTGACTCTGAAGAGGGGATCGGCAAAAGCTGGATCTAGATACACCTGAAATGACCCAAGGAAATGAGATGGACGTTTGGGGAGCCAAAACTGAGGGTTTCTAGTGCTAATGGGTCTGATTTCTTTCTTAATTGGTTGATTGGTAAGACTGAATCTATACATTGTAGAATGAAATAAAAAAACAGGCAGATGGTCTAAAACTGTAGCAGCAGCAGTGAGCCTGTGACATGAATATAGGTTTGTCTCTTTAATATTTGATAGGAGTGTGTATTAGTAGTTTCTGGAATCCATTAGGAAGTGTGGGTGAGTGATGGGAGTAGCTGCATCACATCCTCTGCGCCACTCTTTATAGCACCCTGCGTTGTGAAGGGTGACATTTTCCAGCCTAACAGTAAGGACAGCATGAGCTGCAGAGCCTGGGCTTTAGCTCCCGTGGATGCAGATCTGGGACCGTGATCAGAGCTTCGGTCTTGCAAGAATATCATAAATTGCAAGAAAAGCTGCAGATGATGAGAAAGCATGAAAACTGGCCATGTATCCTCTAACAGGAGAGGAGCTTGCATGGGAGAGAGGGGGTGACTGTGTTCAGCTGGCTTGCTTAAGTTCCTGATAGATCTGCTGTCGCGGCTAGAAAATGTGAATGCTACAGATACCCTATTCTTTGGTTTTCAAAGGCATTTCCAAAGGCCATGTGGCAGGACTGCAGCGCTGCTTGGTATTTACTGGGTCGAGCAAGGCTGAAGTTGTCTTTTTTGTGCTGAAAAATGTGTATATTTTTGAGGCCATCCAGCAGAAAAGCTCTGAGCAGGCACTGTAAGAGAGTGCATCCTGCTCGGCTGCCTGGCAGCAGAAGTCAGAGGATGTAATCCAGAAATTGGGGGCAAATCAAGCAGTCATTTAAAACCCAGGCAGGAGCAGCATCGCCTGGGATAGACAACAGCATCCAAGTGAATGGCCGGAGTGCACCCTGCATAGGGCTTGTATGAGAAATCCCTAAGTGTTTGACTGGGAGAGCCTCGCGCTTGCCTTGGCTGGCGCTGTGTCCTGTTTACCTCTCATTTTACAAAGGCCTTGGAAGCACAAAGAGCTGGAAAATGAAAGAAATACCTGTTACGGGAAAGCTTTCTGAACTCCTGCAGGCCTGGGTTCGTGTTTGATGAAGAGGCTTTGTCCTTTTTTCCAGCTGAGCTAGACATCCCTTCGTCTCTCCTAGTGATGATCCAAGATATTTCTTTCTTGTACTGTCAGTGGCTTGTAAATGCTGGGGGCAGATTCATGGCAGAACATTTTCTCCCTCAAACACTTAATTAGTAAGTATTTTGGGTCACCCTCCCCCTGGATTAAGCAGCTCACTGGAAATCTTGCTGCCATAGCACTTTACAGAGCTGCAAAGGAAATTGTCTCCTAGAATCACTTAGTTGCAGATAGGAGATAGATGGTCTCGGTTTTGATATCGGTGTTTAAAATAATATGTAGAGAAGGTTTTTCAAGAAAAGCATAAAGGCAAACTATTTATTAAGATGAACACCCCTCACAATTTCATTTTTAAGAGTATGGAAAAGGTAATTCTAGGGGAAAAAAATGTCTTTAACGGGGAACATCGTCAGCTGTAATTTAGAACTACCCGATCAGCACGTGTTTGAGGGAGATAAACTGTATCATCTGTTCTCTCCTTCCCATGGCTGCAAGGCTGATGTTTTATACTTTTGCAGATGAGCCTCTCTCAGGGTGTCATGAACAGCTATCCGTCTATCATGTGGGCTATAGAAAGGGCAGAGTCATTGCTGAAAGCATGTCAGTGGATTACAGCAATAAAATTTTTCACTGCTTCAAACAAAAGAAGAATGTGCTTGACAAGGGAATACGTTTAAAATTCCTTTAAAACAGAATGCAGAGGCTACGTTTCGCCTCCTCTAGTGCTCCCACTTCTTTTGAGTTTTGAGAGGTTTTTTTAATATTTCTTTTTGGAAGCTCGTTGCCAGGAAGAGCTATGGATTTAGGAGCTCTGACCCTTGACTGCATATGGGAGCCAAAAAACATGCAAACTTTAAAAAAAAAAACTAGTGGTAAAATGATTAGCCACGGAACATATCCCATGAAAGCTCCACATATATTTTCAGAATTTCCTGTTTTTAACAGCTAAAGAGCTGCAGAACATAAACTGTGCTAGGAAAGCTTGGAAACCCCACGGCAAACCTTGCATGGTTGTAAATATTTCCGTCCCACGGTGACGTCCGCTTTCCCCGCGCGAGTCCTGACCGATGCGCAAGGCGGCCGTGGCTGCGGCGCCACGCGGGCCGGCCCAGCCCTCCACGAGGCAGCTTGATCATTTCAGTGATAATTTATTGTCTTTTTATTTAACATTGTAATTAACATGATAAATAAGTGCAACTGTATTGTTTGAAATGCAATATACAATTAAGCTCAATTAATTAATTGGCCTTCAATGATCAGGAGGAGAAAGATGTTCATTGTTTTTTCATGTGAAGAGATTGTTTGTTTTAATGAAAAATGTATGATGAGGTCGCTCACGATGGAGGCGACTTCCCGTGGGAGTGCGTGGCCTGGGGTGCAAACCCTGCACGGGGTAAAACACGTGCGCCTCAGGTGCAGCCCCG